TCGAGAAGGGCAAGGGCACCAAGCAGACCAGCGAGAGCACCTTCGAGAAGGGCATGGGCATCGAGCATGCCGCCAAGCAGGCCGTCGAGAGCACTGTCGAGCAGGTCGTCCAGCAGGGCGTCGAGCAGACCATCGATCACGACGAGGAGGTCAAGATGTGCTTGAAACAGCTTGAGGCGAACACCCCCAGGCACATGTCGCCTGAGGACGTCCTGGCTCGCGGCGCTGCCCCCATCGCTAATCTCGCACACGTTGCTGCTGCCCCGAGCGGCTCATCAGTTTACTGCAACTGGTTGCATGACTACTAGAACAACAACTGTCACATGCATGTATGCTGCTCGATCCGCACGCCGCGCTCATTCATCGGGCCTCATCCTACAGCCCTCGTTCTACATCCCACCAATCAAAACCAATGTAATAATGATTGAACAGATCTGCGAAGTGGTAGCGGCACGAAAACCGAAAAGTTGAGTTTGGGTTGAGTTTAAACCCAAACTCACCTTCTGAGCCTTAGAAAGTTGAGTTTGGGTTGAATTTGGGGCTTAAAAGTTGAGTTTGGGTTTAAACTCAACCCAAACTCAACTTTTCGGTTAATGGGTAGTTCCAATACTAGTGCATTCCCGAACCAGAACTGAACACAGTTAGTACGTCAATCACCTCACCCACAGCCCCCTACGGCCCCCTACAGACCCCCATGGGCCTCTACAAACCCATCCACATATGATAACACATGTAGCAATTTGAACTCGAGGTGGGCGCGGTGTGATATCCTGACCAGTGCGAGGCATTCCCAATACGCTGCATTTCTCGGCGCGATGAGTGCCAAATCAGCAGCCGCTCAGATCCAGGCGTTAAAAGCTGTGAAGCTCGAGGACCTCCAGGAGACCGACGAGGATGGCCAGCCAGAGGCTGGGGAAGAAGACGAGGCTGGGGCAGATGCTGATGACGAAGATGAGCCACACGCAGGCGTTGGCAAACCAGCAGCCTCAGCGACACGCGTCGGCAAGCCAGCCGCCTCGTCGAAGACTTGTGCCGTCATGAAGAAGCCTGTAGCCCCCCCCGAGGATGGTCCTGCAGAACACGGACAAGAAGCCTGCTGCCGCCACCCCTCAAGCTCGGGACCAGGTGAAGATGCGGAAACTTGCGCAAATTCGTGACACGCTTCCAGACGAAGTCAAGACGTTGCTCGACGATGCCCACCGCCATCCGAGCGGCAAGAGGGCGAGGGAGACCGAGCTCGTGAACAACATGTTCATGATGGACGGCGGCAGGCTCGTTCCGAATTGGCATTCGCCGTGGTTCGCTGCCGAGATCAAGCAGAAGAAGACCAAGTACGGGAACGACAAACGCACCGGCGTCAACTTCGACATCACGAAGGAGCGCTTCAAGGACGGGGAGAAGGGCCTCGAGGCGGCCATCCGCGCAGGCGCTGTGGAGGAATGGCAAGTCGACGGCCGACGTTTCTGCGCCACCCGCGAGGTCGTGGTCGGGCCCAGCCACGAGGTGACGAAGTCGAACACGTTGCAGAAGGGCAAACATGTAACGCCAGAGCAGCAGAAGCAGATTTCCGACGCCGTCGATCGCATGCAGTTCGGCTTCCAGTTCACGAACGCTGAGGCGAGGAAGGCTGACTCTGGCGAGGTGCCGTACAAGGCGCGCCAGAAGATCGGGGAGGCGATCGTCGCGCTGGAGAAATGCCCGAAAGAGACCACGAAGGCCTACGACCAGCTGGCCGCGAAGAAGCTGTCGGGCGTGCAAGTCGACGTCAAGGAGAAGATGGAGGTGCAGATCGAGCAGATGGAGGAGGACAATCGCGAGCTCACCAAGATGTACAGGTTCAAGAAGTGCGGCGACGGGACCGCCTACAGCTGCAGCAAGATCCAGTCTGCGCTCGGTCAGACTGCCGTGCACATGGAGAGGGCGCAGGAGACCGTCAAGGCTGCCAAGGCGCCCCTGAAGTCCTGAAGCAGCACGGCGGGCCCAACGAGGACAACGACGATCTCGCCTTCACCTCCGTGCGCCAGTGCTGCGCTGTGCCGTTGGAAACACACCCTTCTCCTTATCACGCCCCCCCCTTCCCATCCCCCCGCCCCCCCCCCCCAGAGGCGTCTTGAGAGCATACAGAGCATTGGAGTCTAGTGTTTTAGTTAAGTCCAGGCGCCATTCCAGGTTCAAGCTTACACGACAATTTAGTTTGAGGCCCGACGTTGCTATAGGTTTAGGTTCAGACGTCCTTGGCGTTGAAATTCAGACGCTCTTTGAAGTCAGGCGTCCTTGAGGTTCAAGTTCAGTCGCTCTTTGAGTTCAGTCGTCCATTTCGGTTTAAGCTTAGTCCAGCTCACAAAATTACTAACGCACCTTAAGAAGTTCAGACTTCCCGATGTAGACACGAGGATTCCGGAGGCCGCGGGGGGCCCTCAGGATGGCGTCGTGGGAGGCCTCTCGGGGGTGGGAACGCGGTAGAATTCAATTGGAATCGGACCAATTCGAGACCCCTCCCTTTTCCCGAAAGGGAGGGGGTCTCAAATTCGAGTGCGGCGTCATTGTATTTCGAGGCCTGTGTGATATTCTTGGCATTGCTCCACATTGCTTGTTCAAGTCGCAGTTGACAGCTAAACAAAACAGAAGCGTTTAGGTCGGATTGGGAAATCTAATTTGCATCCGAACCCAACCCCAAACTGCGCTGTTCACAAAGTTGTGTTTAGGTTTAAAACTCAACCCAAACTGCTCTGTTCAAAAAGTTGACTTTGGGTTTTAATTCAATCCAAACTGGACTTCCCAACCCGCCCTCGGCACAAACTCGCAGGTGTTGCGTAAAAGTTGTGGCTCGAGATTTTGCTCCAAATCTGTGGCTCGCAGTTGTTGTTCACGCCATGGATATGTTCCAGCGGCGCGGCGGCATCAGGCAGCGAGCCAAGGCGGCTGCCGCCGCCGAGGCTGCCGCGACGGTCAGTAGTAAATTGGCGACATACCTGTTGCAGGAGTGGAGCTGGGGGTGGATGGCTCCGCAACAAGTCCAGCGCATCTCTGGTTTCAAGAAAGACGACCTCGCCGCCCAGGCAGCAGGTCTACTAGAGATGGGCGCGGTTCAGTTCCTATCGCCCCTTGGAACCTCTGGGCGGCACCCCCAGCGCATGAGCAACCAGCTCGTCAAAAAGTGCTCCCCTCATTCATGGTTCTACCCGCTGCCGTTCAGGGCAATTCTGAAGCAGAGCGCTTGTGGGACTCACTTCCAGGCCATGGACATGTTGTGCCCGCATGTGGTTTGTGCGAAGATGTTCCACTGCCACAAAAATGCATGGCAATCGTTGATGTGCCCGTCCGCCACAGCGCTGCGGGCGTTCTGGCAGGACGTGAGATCGACGCCACAATATTGATCACATCCAATTCGCGGCCGCCCCAACCACGAGTCCTTGGCCCTGCCGATTTCTGTGCACGGCGATGGAACGCCGATTGCTGGCCTTGGGAAATCTTGGGGGGAACTCATGGACATTTGGAGCTGGAGCTCGCTCGTTGCGACAGGGCTGACCGACATGTCTCAACTCGTGATCTGCATGCTGCTCGAAGCAGTTCAAACGTCAGGCGCAGCAGGCAAAACCTTAATGTATAAATTTAGGAAGCTCAAGTGGTCACTAGAGCACCTGTGGTTGGGCACGTGGCCCGAGATCGACGAGCTGGGCAATCCGATGCCTGAGGGCTCGCCCACGGGATTGCTCGCTGGGGGGCACTACGCGTGCGTGCGGGGGCTGATCGGTGATCTCGACTACATGTTGAAGCACTTGGGTATGCAGAATTATAGCATTTTGAATGACCCGTGCGGGTGGTGTCCCTGCAACCCAACGACTATGCCATGGTGGGATTTCCGCAAAAACGCTGAATGTTTAAAGCACGCGCACACTATAGCTACATGGATGGCCATGGGTCATCAGAAAGAACACCCGTTGTTTAAGGTCCCTGGCGTTACAATTTTGACGGTAAAGCCAGATTGGGTGCACATCATATATTTGGGTTTGGACAAAACATTGTATGATTATGTATTGTTTTGTTTGACCCGTTATGTGTTCATAGGTGATCCCGACCAGAACATGGCGACCATACAGAAAGATATTTTTGACATTTACAGGCGCGACAAGGTGAATACCCGATTTTCCCATATGAAAGTATCTATGTTCAGCAATCGGGCGAAGGCAAACCTCAGAGGAAAAACTGCTGAGATAAAGTGCCTGGGGCCAGTCCTCCTTGAAATATGGCAGAAAAGAATAAATCTCGATATTGAGATGCACCATAAGGTTCGGCTGCTAATTCAGCTGGGTGTCCTGCCAGATGAAAAGTTGGATGCGATTCCACAGGAATGCTATACAACTCCAAGGAACATGCGCTTGGACTTGTTAGACACGTGCCATACGTTCTTGTGTCTGTGGAACGAGATGCAGGCTTTTTTGTAAATAACGAAGACGCGCAGGATAATGAGTTGTTCCACGTAACTATAAAAGCACATTTGTTTGTTGCACTGCTGCTTGGATCGATCAAACCCTACAAAGATGTGGTGCTTCCGTGGCGAAGATCTAATGTCAAGGGTGCGCAAACTCGCACTTTCTTGCGCCAAGTGGTGCTCATCCTGGCAGATCGGGAACACAGACATTGGCAAGTATTGCGTTGCCCTTGACACGCTGTTCAAAACATTGGACGCAGTTGCTGTGTAAAACGGCGCAAGACAATACAAGCTATACAAAGTGGTTTTCGCATACCCAAGCATAGAACCTAACAAATAACCTAATATCTAACCTAACCTACCCCCTAACATATAGCCTAACCTACCCCCTAACATATAACCTAACCTAACCTACCCCCTAAGATCTAACCTAATAGTTAACCTACGATTTAACCTACCAGCTACCCCCATAATTAAACTAATTAGTTAACGTTAGCAGATCGGCAAGATTAGACGAATTCGTCTAATCTAACCGATCGGCTAATTTTAGTCTCATGGAGGGGGACTCCTGCGAACAGGGGAAGCACTCGTTCCACTCGTCCACGACCACGAGCACGGGATGCACGGTCTGGCGCTGCAGCTGAGCGAACATCTCCGAGACCGCCTGCGAGCCAAGCAGGGGTGGACTGGTTAGAAATGCTGCGAGGGGTACACTAGTAGTTGAACTATGGCCTCACCCACCAAAAACGCCATCCTTGTCAAAAGATCAGAGGCTCGGGAGCAAGAAACACCTGTGCCTTGTGCCAAGAAACATGTCGAAACAACGAACACGAGACATACTTGGACAAACATGGGGTACGAACGGTAAAGGAAACATGCAACTGCGTAGCAGAAAAACCACGGCGTACCGACAAAGACGTCGCATCAAAAGACCGCAAACATGCGCGACCGACTGTCATAGCGATAACATCTGCCAAACCGCATGCCCAACCTACATAGAGCCCGTGACCGTGCGAAACGCGACCTGCCTGAGCAGCGTAAGCCTCGTTGTCGAGCCCGAACTCCACGATCTCCCAGACCTGCAATGGTTGGAAAAACGGAACTACCATGTTGCAATGCTAACTGTGAGCTCCAGCCACGCGGCCCTGATTCTCTCCGCGTGCCTCCCTGCCTCCTTGACCCCTCCTCTCGATGTGCCGCTAGCGCCACTGCTGCTCTACGTGCGGCCCTTCCCTCTCTCGGGGGGGGGTTAAAGTTCAAGCCTGGAATAATTGCGACGCTGGCGACTCAATTCGTCGCGGGAGTCAGAATGAGCAGGATGGGGAGGAACAGCAGCGTGAAGAAGTTTCGCGAGAGGATGAGTCAAGATGCTGCGAGCCCAGGGGCCCACTGCAAGACAACTCCGAGATTGGACGTCGAGAAACGCACGAATTTACAGTCCCCCTCCACATTGCGATATCTCTCTATACATATATATATGTTTATGTGATATCTACATATGTATGTATAACTATATATATAGTTATACATACATATGTATATATACATATGTAAGCCAGCGTGGAGCCCGAACAGTCATCTATTCCACAGAGGAAGTACGAACTATGTGGTGCAGCCATCTGGTGCCAGCCACGGTGTACAAGCTATGTGGTGCCAGCTATGTGGTGCAAGCAATGTGATGCAAGCAATGCGGTGCAGTCTGCGGTGTGGAACACACGTGGTGCAAGTTACAACAATTATAAGGTGCAAGCTATGTGGTGCAGGCTATGTGGTGCAAGCTAGGTTGTGCCACCTACGTGGGTTCCTATACGTGAAACATGGTGTGCAATGCAAACTGTGTAGTATAAGGAATGTGGTGCACGCTGTGCTGCTGCAACCGGCGCTGTGCAATCGACGTGGAGCAAGCTATCGGGGCGCCGACGGGGCGGGCACCAGCCGAAACTTCGACGTCCCCCCCCATCGCGGGGCGCCGACGAGGCGCCCACGGGCGAGCACCAGCTGAAACCCCGACACGCATTCCAAGCGCGGGGCACCCACGAGGCCCCCACCCCCCACCAACCACCACCAACCAACTACCAGCCGAAAGCACGACACACACACACCAACACATACCAAGCGCGGTGCGCACACGAGTCACTCACCAGCCGAAACCCCGACACAACCATCCAGCTCCTGAAGTAAGGAAAGCCAGACCACTCAAGTGCAAGCACGGCTTGGGGAACACGCATGCTTGAGTTCTACGCGTTTTCGATCCCAGCGTAGACCGCACAAGCGGGACCGTGCCCAAAGGAAAGGGCACCGTTGGTTCCGAAGCAAACTCGTTCGTTGCTGACCACGAAAGACGACAGAAGGGCCCGAGTTCAGGCGAAAAAGGCACAACCAAGCGCAATCCGACTTACATACAAATTGTATGCACCATCGCTGCAGACCATCCCCATCAACATCACCATCACCGCCATCTTCACCATCCCAATCATCATCAACGCCACCATCACCATCAACATCACCACCATCACCGTAACCAACACCACAACCATCACCATCCCCGGCATCATCATCATCAGCATCAGCAGCAGCATAATCGTCATATTCAGCATTAGCATCATCATCAGCATCATCCTCATCATCACAATCACCATCACCATCACCATCACCATCACCATCGCCGTCACCATCGCCACAGCCATCACCATCACCATCAGCATCAGCAACATCAGCATCGCCATCATCATCATGATCACTAATATAGTCCTCATCATCATCATCACTAACAGCATTCATCATCAACATCATCATCATCAACATCATCATCAAAATCATGATCACCATCATCAACGTCACCATCGGCATCATCATAAGCAGCAGCATCATCAGCATCACCATCACCATCAGCATTAGCATCAGCATCATCACCATCATCATTACCAACATCAACATCAACATCAACATCAACATCATCATCAGCATCATCATCATCATCATCATCATCATCATCATCTTCAGCAGCATCATCATCGTCATCATCATCATATTCAGCATCATCATATTCAGCATCATCATCATCATCATCATCATCATCATCATCATCATCATCATCATCATCATCATCATCATCATCATGATCATCAGCATCATCATCATCCGTAGTCATTTTGACTCAAGCCAATTGGCTCAAGCTCTCTTGGGTCAACAAATGGCGCGGGATCGCGTGGCCGCCTCCGGGTGATGGCTGCGAGGAGCGAGCGCCCTGACGAGGCGCCGCGAGTCCTTCGAGGAGACGAGGGGGCGCGTGCCTCGGCAGGTCACTTGGTGAGGCGCCTGAGCCAGGAGCTGGAGGCTGCCCGCACGGAGTGCGCGAGGCTGCTGACGGTGCTGGACCAGCGGGCTGCAGGGGGTGAAAGCAACATCGAAGCAGAGGCTGCCCGCCGTGAGGTTCTAGCCGGGCCCTCCCTGGTGGCGAGGCTCAGCGGCGCGCCCGAGAGCGGTGGGAAGCACTTGGTGCGGAACGTCTCGCTGCATGTGAAGCGATGCCCGCAGGCTGGGGCTCCCTGGTTGGAGTGAAAGGCTCCGCAACGCGAAGGCCGCCTGCCTGGTGGAGCCGCCGCTGCAGCAGCAATGAAGTGCGATTGTGAGTGCGAGGTCATCATCCGCGAAGCGGAGGCGTCGCTCTTCAGGCATCGGGTCGAGAAGCTGCACGTGGAGCCGCAGGCCGAGGTGCTGCGGCCTGGCGAGTGGCAAACGTTCGGCGAGAAGCACGTCGTGTGGGGAGCTGGGGCTTTCGTGGATGGCCTCGCGGCGGGGTGCCGCCTTGCCGAGGCGTGCCCGCCCCGCGACGTTGGGGTGCTGATGCGCGAGCTGGGAGTAGCGGCCGCGAGGACCCCGCTGCGGTCTTGCGCCAAGCCGTACCTCAGTGAGAACGCAGCCGAAGCCTGCCTGTCCGATGCGGGCGCTGGAGCTGCGGAGGCCCGCGGGACCGCGGCTGGTGTGGTGCCAGGACAGCTGGAGGCAGAAGCCGAGGCGGCCCAGGAGCCGCCGCTGCTCCTCCCCCCGCCGCCCGGCGGCTCGGAGGCTGCCACGGCCTGCACGGCCGCGCCGACGGCTGCCGCGAGGAGAACCGTGGTCGCGGAGTACCTGGCGGCCCACCCCGCGGCGCTCCTCAGCGGCGGCGACGGGGAGGAGCACTGCGACGAGATCGAGAAACCCACGTGCGAGGAGCATGAGGGGCAGGCAGAGCAGCAGGAGCCCGAGGCCATCGGGTTCGAGCTGAATGATGGGGAGGAGCACTTCGGCGCGCTGCGGGGCGCCGTGGGGGTGGGGTGCTGAAGGACGACGAAGAGGACCAGAACCTGCTAGAGGCCCACGTGTCGGGTGACGGCGCGGGGGACGAGCAAGGCGGCGGTGCGCGGGTGTCGTGCAAGGAGCCGCTGAGCATCATCGAGGAGTCCACGTGTGAGGAGCATAGGGGGGCAGGCAGAGCAGCAGGAGCCAGAGGACATCGGGTTCGAGCTGAACGACGAGGAGGAGCAAGTCGGCGAGCTGCGGAGCGCCATGGGGGTGCCTTCCAAGAGCGACGAAGGGGAGAGCTGCGACGGCGAGGAGTCGGTCCTGCCCCCCCCCCAGCTGGCGAGGGCGAGTTCTTCCTCGAGGTCGTCGACACGGATGCGGTGGCAGCAACTGCCACGCGGCAGTACGACTGCGTCGAGGCGCTGTGGGCCATCGGCATACAGAGGTGGGAGGGGTGACGCTGCTCATCGAGCGCCGATGACCCATTCATCGAGCGCTGGCGACGCGTACATCGAACACCTTATCGGCAAGAAGACGGATGCAAGTTGGGGTGTGAATGCTCGGAAACCCTGGGGAGGGGGCCCAAAGATCCCGTGAGTGAGTGAGACAGTCGCCCTGGGCGCGAGCGATTCAGGTCCGACCTTCCTTGGAGAGCGGGATCATCCTCATCAGCATCGCCATCATCATCTTCATTATCAGCATCACCATGATAATCATCATCATCATCATCATCATCATCATCAGCAGCAGCAGCATCATCATCACCACCACCAACATCATCATCATCATCAACATCCTCATCTCATCACCAACAACATCATCATACTCATGATCACCAGCACCGTCACCATCAACATCACCATCACCATCATCATCATCATCGTCATCATCAGCAGCATCATCATCGTCACCATCAGCATCATCAGCAACAGCATCATGATCATGATCATCACCAACAGCATCATCATCATCATCATCAGCACCATCATCATCACCATCAGCAGCAGCATCATCATCAGCATCATCATCATCAGCATCATCATCATCACCGTCATCATCATCACCCGCATCTCCATCATAGTGGGGGGCCCTGCACGGCCATATTGTTGTTCTGTGTTGGCTTTCCTGGGGCCAACATGGCGCCTCCTTCTTCAAACAAAACTCTCGTTAGACCCTTTTGTAGGGGCAACTCGGGGCGCTTGTGGGCTAGAGTTTGGCCTTGGCCGTCTTGCGTTTCTTCGGGCCCTGTCGGGGGTATCTTTGGCTCCCCTCCACCTTGGGATATCTCGCGCTGTCTCGGAGATCATGTTCTGCCTAGATGGGGCCATGTTGCGGGCAACCACCGTTCATTTTGCTTCCTCCTTCCTCATCCCGTTTCCCAATGCCTCGTCCCACCTCCTCCTATCTTCCCCGGCCGTTTCCTACTCCATCTTGCTCTTCTACGTCCACGAGCCTCCTCCAATTTGGTCGCTTGCGGGAGCCACCAACGCACTGGTGACCCGCGCGGGTTACGGGTGGTATTCTTGCCTCGGGCCTCGTTACCACCCCCCTCTGCCTTGCTTCCCTCCGAACGTCGTCGACGATGAACATGCGCACGGCCTTGCGCATCATGGACGGCGTGCGCCCGTCGCCCATGGCGGACCCGTTGTCGTTACGCGCAGGGATGCCGCTCCCGTGGTGCACCGTGGGCCCGTCGATTGGGGCCGTCATTGCATCCTGGAATGCCAGACAAACGAATGGGACGACGTGGTCCCAACCAGCGTCCTCCCCCATAAGTGCCGATCCACACGATCACGGCGCTCTTGCCAGTGCCCGGGAACCACGGACCAGGTGTGGTAAGGGCTCCCAAGGATTTCCGTTCAAGTCGCCTTGCCGCTTCTCCAGCCATTCGATCGTCAACCGCAGAACAAACTGCTGCAGAAACCAATTCGCCATATTCGACCTGTTCGAACTCTCCATGATGAACTTCGCCGAATTTCCAATATTTCGCTCAGCACCTCCTTGAGGGTTGGACGACACCGTGGCGTCGCGCTTCTGATCAGCGGAGGCCTCGTGCGCATCCTTCTCAATTTTCTCTCGGTCCACGCCGCCAGATGATCCTGGTAAGAATTCTCGAATATGTCGAACATGCTGCCTGGGTCCACTCGATCACCTGCCTCTGTGCCGACAGGGTCTGTCTTTCAGAGCTGTTGTCCGTCGCGATGGCCGTGCACTCCTGCCCCCAGCTCTTCTGATTGGCCCCTTTCTTCCACACTTCACCGAGACTGTCGGGCTTCCCGGTGGACCAAAGTAGTTCTTGGAATTTCTGGCACGACAGCTTCGGCGAAGGCACTTCTGACTCAACCACTGTGGCGTCCGCGTCGCTCTGCGCGCCGTCGACCGCCTTTCCCGATGGTACCATCATATTCAAAAGGGAACTCTGGATGAGAGGGGCATTACCGCTGTCAACTACATCCCCACGAACATACTCATCCCAGGCGTTCTTCCAACTGACTTTGTCCGGCACTATTCCTCCTCCTCCTCCTCCTCCTCCTCCTCCTCCTCGTCCTCCTCCTCCTCCTCCTCCTCCTCCTCCTCCTCCTCCCCACCTCCTTAGTCCTCTTGTTATTCACCTTCTGCCGCCTCCACTGCCCCATTCTCTGTTCTCCTCCTCCTCCCTTCTCATGCCGCGTCTTCCCCCTCCTATCTCCTCTCTCCTCGTCTCCCTTCTCCTGCCGTCGTCCTGCCTGCATTCCTCCCCGCCGTCCTTCTCCTCCTCGCCCTCTTCCGCGTGTTCCTTTTCATCCTAATCCCCCTTCTCTCTAACTCCGATTGGTTTTTATCATTATCCTCCTCCTCCTCGTCCTCCTCGTCCTCCTCCTCCTCCTCCTCCTCCTCCTCCTCCTCCTCATCATCATCCTCATCATCATCATCATCATCATCATCCGCGCCCTCTGCGAAACGAATGCGTTTCACTGCTGGGCCACGTACTGCTTCACATCCCTCAAAAGCGAAACGTATCTGCTGTCTGTTGTTGACTGGGCTGGTGGGTATATATTTTTTGTCGCGGCCGCAAGCGAAAGCGCAGGCGGCGAACAGGGTGTCCAGGCCGACGGGCAAGCCAAATTAGCTGCAAGGCGCAGCGCGAGCCGGCCGGGCCAGCCCTCAGAGGCAGCAGCTGCGGCAGCGGCGGCGGGGGGTTGGCTAGCTGAACTGCAACGCCCAGGGAAGCTCGAGCATCATGCAGACTTGTGGCAAAATGCCAAGGGAATTCTTGACTGTGCGCCGCGGCGCCAATCCACCACGGTGTAGGTGCCATGCCGAGACAGACAGAGAGTGTCCTACACGCACAATCCGCACAGACACTGTGGTGAGAAAAAGCTAGGTACACACAGGTCATGTCGCCAGAGGGCGCCAAGGGCCAGGGCCGCGTCGACGGCGCAGACCTGCCTGGTGGGCTGGGACGGGTCTAGGATGGAAGCACAGCGTCTGACGGGAGGCTGGACCACTCCGAGACGCCACACACGTATCCTGTGGTGGACGCCAGTCCCGAACAAGTAACAACGAACGGGCCCTGGAGGCGATGGCACCTGTGGGCCCGGCCCATGGTCACGACGTGAGCGTCGAAGAGAACCGCGTATTGCGCGGAGGACAAGCCTGACTGGCGGGGATGGGCGTCGCAAGCGCGGCTGGTGGTTATACGCGAAGCGTAACGGATCACATCCGACGTCTGCGAGGCACTGGGCTCACCGTACACACATGCACACGCATACACTTATATATGTATACATAAAATACATACGTGTGTGTGCATAGGTACATGCATATAGATATACATACAGGCATGCATACATGCATACATGCATGCACATGCATGTGTATGCATATAAGTATGAGTACATGTGTAGGGCTGTAAAATACATATACACACATATATATAGCGAGAGAGAGAGAGAGAGAACAAACAAGAGGTACAGAGAGAGTGTGTACATGCGTGTGCATGAATGTGAGTGAGTGCCTCTGTGTGCGCGCGCTGGGTTGCCATCGAGGCTGCGACCAGCGCATTGTCTGGCACAACTTCTGCCCACCAGTGCCCCTCCCCAGCGTCCGCTGCATGGGACGAGCGGGCAGCATGGCTGCCATTCTCATGCCAACACTGTGGCAATCTTCGCGACTGCCCTCGGGCCTGGCCTCCTCCCTCGCTCCATCCCTGCTCTCCAGCTGCGCACGCATGCTCGGCTCACTCCCGCTGTTGCTCACCAGCACTGGCTCTCGGGTGCGACGAAGACGGGGCCAGGAAGGGGGGGTGTAATGCGCACCATGGCCCGAGGCACGTGCGCGGACGTGGGGGGGTCAGCTGACGTCTTGAAAGAAGAGGGGCCATGAAATCCAGGATGTGTTTGGCCCCAGCCATGGTATCCACGCCCCCTACTGGCCCTACTGGTACTTTTAGGTCGGGCATGTCCTCCTACAGGCGGACGTTGGAAGAAACATCAAACATGGTCAGAAAATCCGCCGACCCTGTCGGCGTGCGTGAGGGGCTGTTTCGCTCGAGTCGGGTTTTTCCGTTGGAGTCGTCGTCTCCGTCTTCCCCTGTTCCATTCTCCTGGGCCCCCTTCCTCACACGCGCCGTCCAAAGCGAAATTGAACAACATAGAGGAATGGAATCGAGAAGACGCCCCTTCCCTTTGATCCCTTCTCCACGCCAGGGGCGGGTCCCGAGAGGGTCCTGGGGGGGTCCCGGAAGGGTCCTGGGGGGGTGTCGCCACCCAGACACGCTCCCGAGAGGTCCCCAAGAGGCCAAATCCATTATTTGTCTTGAGGGATTTATAGGCTTGGGCGTTCTCGCCTCCTCTACTTCCCGACGCTCCAAAACGGCGCAAGAGACCCCAAAGATCGCTCCTAGACGGCCCAAGAAGCCTCCAAGAGGGCCCCAAGACAGCCCGAGAGGACCCCAAGACAGCCCAACACGCCTACGAGACGGCCCAAGAGGCCCCCAAGACGGCTCCAAGAGCGTGCCCAGACGGGGGGTGCCCGAACTGACATTTCGAGCCCTCGGCACCGACAGGCTCCCAGGAGGCCGCAAGAGGTTCCCAAGAGGCCCCAAGAGGCCAACAAAAGGTCCCCAGGAGCCCAAAGAGGCCCCCAAGAGATTCACAAGAGGCCCCCAAGCGGCTCCCAAGAGGCCCAAAAATTCCTCCCCAGAGGCCCCCGCATCCCTGAGGACTCTGGCCCACGTCAGCGTCGTCTTCCTTGCCGCCGCCGCCGTTGTCGTTGTCGTCATCGTCGTTGTCGTCGTCTCCCTTCAGGGTCGGCGGCACTGGCTGTAAGGCCTTCGCGATAATCAAAAATGATCAAAGCAGCACGAAAGCTCGTTACCAGACTATTTTTCTACTATTCGTGAACATTCCTCCTGTAGAGGGACATGCCCGACTGATTGGTGCTTCGTCCTCCCCCGCCTCTCCATGGCTCGACTCGGCCTGCCCCTCGTCCATGATTTCCAGGGCACCTGCCTCAATGCACACACGCTCTCATGCAGTGCAGGTCGTGCGCCACGCGACCGGAGGGAGCCCCCTCCCTGACACGCGAGTGCTCGACACCACGCCGGCGAGGGAAGAGGAAGGTGCGCAGGCGTGGGGGGGGGGCCAAAAATGTTGCGATAGTGCCGGACCACTACCAGGGTGCGTTATGACCAGAATTTCGAGGACCGTCCAGCCGTGGTGACGAGGGCTCTCCCAGAGAAGCAGCGGTACCGGGCTCTGCTCCTCCCCTGGTGCACTGCGAGGGTCGGAGGGCGGAGGGTGGGCGCGGGGGTGACGTTCGCGGGGCTCGCGAGGCGCTCGGTCATGGAGGGCACGCGTATCTGCTGGCGGTAGTCGGCTATCCTGTGCAGCCTCTCAGCCTCGGACAGCTCGCGCTCTTCCACCTCGGTGCAAGGGGAGGACGCTCCCAGACGCTGCCTGCAAAACGAAAACATGATCGGCACATCCGTCAGCCATGCCGTCAACGGATAAGGATGCTGGCGCGTGGACCCCAAACATTCGAAGCAGTGGGGGGGAGGTCTGTGGAAGCAATTGCAAACGACTTGAAAGCAAGCGGAAACATGTCGAAGCGAATCGAAACATCCAGATGAGTAGATGGACGCAGGTGGAAACATGTGGGGGCAGAATGAAACTCATGACAACATATGAAGGCCAGCGGGGACATGTGGACACAACCCGCGAATGGCAAACATAAACATGGGCCAATAAAGGAAATCGGCAACCGCCTCAGGACAGGATCGAACCGAACACAACCCGGAACACGGACGGCGTCATGGAACTGCGACGCACCAGGCATGGGACCGAACTGGCAAAGTCGGGGACAAGGCCGGCGAAGGAAGCCGACAGCGCACGCCTGCACCCTGAGCGCCACCCCACTGTGCCCGTATAGGCCTGCGCAGGCCACGGGACCTCCAAGAATGCCACACATCAAAATGTGTTTTCGGTTTGAGGAAACAGCTCCCAGGAGGTCTTCGTCAAAAAAAACTGAAATCTCTCGAGCCCGATTTCGCGGGCCATCCGGCCAAAATTAACCAAGCTGAATCAAACGGGATAATGCTGAAGTAAGCAAGTTTTCGACCACAGATATACCAGCGTTGATGCTCAGTTAAACCTCCCAGGAGTAGCATCGTAAGGTTTGGGAGCACAAGCTCCTTCCACTCCCACCTCGCGCTCCACGGTCTTGTCGATGAGAGGTTCATATAATCGACGCGTTGCTGTTACGGACTCGCCGTCGATGGCGCTGGAGCCGTACACCTGAATTGATTGTCAAAGTAGGCAGACGTCGAACCGCTCAACTCTATGTACGCATGCCCGCGTGCATAGGCAAGTATTGAACATATATGGCACACATGTTGCACACACACACACACATAGCTGTTTGTGTTTACGAGTTTGCTTACAACTATGCACGAATGTGCATGCATACGCAGCTGAACAGCACAGTAGTGTGGTCATCGGAGAACAACGTGAGCAGTAATACATAAACAGGACTTCGCCTGGATAAATGGGCATAATGACACGCTGCTCACACAATGTATGCGTAACCTACGGGGAACTTCAAAGCAAGCGATTATATGTACCGCATGCCTGCGTAAGACGCTAACAACATCGATTCAACTGCGTAGGGGGGACCTTTCTGGGGATACCTGTATTCTGGGGAGGGTACCTGGAGTCCAGGGGAGGGATGCTTGCAGTCCAGGGAAAGATGCTAAAAATCCAGGGCGGGGTATCCATGGTCCATGGGGGTACCAATAGTCCGGCGGGGAGGGCACTTGACGCATGGAGAGGTGACCTGTCGCGCAAACGCGGGTGGTCTGGGGGTTATCTGTTGTGTGCATGGGGTGGGCATCAATAGCCCAAGGGGGTACTAATAGTCCCGGGGGGCCCGATGGTCAGGGGGAGAGGGGCTAATGGTCCAGGGGGTGACTGTAATCCAGGGGCCAAGAACCACTCATGCGACGTTCTGACTTCTTCAATGCGCGGTCCCCCTTTCCGCGAGTCCAGTTCTCCATCCTGAAACATTTGTTGATTCCTGGGGCCCCTGTGAGGGCCCTCAAAAACCGAAAACGGCCAATAACCGCCCGATCTATTTTTGGTCACGGCGCGAGTGGAGGCACTCAAGACGGTTCCAAGATCGCCCAAGACAGCTCAAATATTCGAGAGCGGCCCTAAGCAATAGTGAGCTCTGGTGCGCGACTCTCGGGGGCCGCGGGGAGGCCGACACCGAACGCACACGCCGCTGCTATCGCACCGCACTCAGCCATCCGAGGGCCCCGGTGTGCCCGCAATGGAGGTCACTCCGGCGAACGGCCACTTCTGCGCGTGGCCGACAGATTCGGGTGTTGCTAGAAGTGCCCCTGGCCCAATGTGCCCCCAGGATTCTCTGGGTAACCCTCACAACCTAGAGCACCCCTCACGAGGAGACACCTTCAGCTACCCCTCGTGGAGCGAACGGTGAGATCCTTGGGCCAGGGACACCTTTAGCACCCCCCCAAAGATGGGCCGGGAAGAGCTCCAGGCGAACAACACGAGCGCCGAGAGAGCGCCTCCGCCGGCCCCAAGGGGCGATGTTCCAAGCTCCGACGGGGCGACGGCCGATCAAGGCCCCCTCCGGCGTTTGATCGGCGGCGCCCTGGATCGGTCCAGGAGGCCGCCGAACCCCACCCCAAAAGAAGGCCCCCGAGGCTTGCCAAGTGGCCCCGAAAAGGCCCCAACATATCAAGAAAGCCACAAAGGAAAGCCACAAGGGAGGCACCGCCGTGCCCGTGAAAATCCGAGCTCTCTGGGCAGAAGGCAGAAGGCCGTGGGTAACCCGTTGGTCTCGCGGCGACTATGCCGCCATCTTAGATATCAAAAAGAGCGTCGACGAACAATGCCATATGCTAAGACTCTGCGCCTACTGGCGCCTGCTCGCCCCAAAACGACGTGTTTACAGACTGTGACGGCTTGTGCGGTTGGCATAACTGGCACCCGTGAAATCCATTAACGCGTCACAGCAAGCTCGCAGAGGTAAAGCAAGTATTGGCGTCGCCTGCAGCACATCTTTCGCACTCGTGGCGCGCGAGCAGGACATCCGACGCGCGGGTGCAATAGACTGCGCATCGCTGCTACCTCTCAAAACATCAAACCCTTCACCGTTCGCACAGATGGCGAGAAAGGCTGCCGAACTTATGAAGAACCGTCGCCCACTGAATGTTTGCGTGTCGTCGCCTTTTCGATCGCATCCCAGGGCATCGAAACCGCTGAAACACGGTTTTGATTAGTTGTTCCCCTTCTTGCGACGGCGGGCGTGGCCGGGCGGGGGGGCGGGGGGCTATGGCGCATCGGCGAGTGAGCGCAGCGATCGCAACGATGTGCCTGCGCGCAACTGGAAACGCAGTATATAGCCTGCGAACGCCACAGCGTGTCTCAAGCCGTGTACTTGCGAATGTAGCGAGAAACGTAACTGACAGCACCGCTGTGAACTTGCGACCGCCGACCGGCAAGAGAAGCTGATACTTGACAGCGCCAGAACAGCCTGCAAGCTCTAACACGCATCGCAATATACCTGGCCCTGCGAACACCAAAAAACAACTTGCGAACACCCATTTGGTCACAAACCACGTGCCCATCTTGACTTTCAATTTGAGGTGCGCTGGCAATTGCACTGGCGGCGAGGGCGCGCCCGCGCGCGCCGCCCGCAGGTTCTCCAAGCAGTCGAGCAGGGCCGCGGCGTCAGTGCAGCCAAACGCGGCCGACATGGCGCGGGGGCGCGAGACGGCCAGCGGCGGGGGCCAGCGGGGCTCCTCCTGGGGAGGGCACTCGCGCGGCAGCCGCGGCATCGCCAGCGGGGCCAAGCGCCAGGCCGATCGCTATTGGCGGCATCATCGCTGGGAGGGCGCGCAAACACATTTGAAGAAAATGGGGCGCTGCAATTCACGTCGGGCGCGGCGCGCGCTGCCTGGCCAGCGCCGGTTTTAGCCCTCGCCTGCTCTAGACCCGCAATCGCAGCGTGGCATGCCGAGCCGCCGCCGCCGGGGAGGCGCGGCGGGCGCGCGTGCCCGCGCTAGGGCAGCGTCGCATTCGCGCGCGCGCGAATGCACAGCGAGCGCGAGCGCTGCAGAAGCGGGCCGAGAATACGCGCGACGAAACGGGCACGGTCCCCGCCGGCGCCACCGCCACCCCCGCGGCGGGGGCGCGAGCGCGATGACTCGCGAAAACGTGCCTTCATGTCTGCTGCGTGGGAAGAGGGCGCGGAGGCATTTGCGCATCCCTCCAAGCGGTGCCCGGAGGTCGCCGAGGCCGTCGAGTGGGCTGCGCAGCGGAGCGACGCCGAGGTTCGCTACGTTGCGCGCGCCGGGCGCCGCCGCCATCTTGGCGCGCGCCCTCGCGGCGCACGTGCGGGGGTTCCGCGAGCAGGCCGCTCGGCGCATCGAGCGTGCCGCTCACCGCTTGCGCCGGTCGGGCGCGGTGGACGATTGGATTCGCGATTGCGACGCGGCCGCCCGCGCGGCGCCGGCAGATGCGAACGGGCCCATGCTCGAGCAAATAAGCTCGGAATCCAGGCGCGCCGACCAGGGGGTGCCAGCGCTGTTCTGCGAGGCGGCCCGGCCAGAGGCGGAGCGCGCGGCGCGGCTATGGCCCGCGCAGCCGCTGCGCAGGGGCCCCCGCTCGCGGGCGTATTGCCGTGCTCTGGCGTCGGCGAAGCGGCGGATTGCATGCGCTGCGCATCAAAAAAGCATATGCTGCAGGAGGCGCGAAAGGGCAACCGCGCCGTGCGTAAGCGCGCGGCGATGTGCACGCCGCCGAGCTGCGCGCGCTCGCCGCGGCGGACGCGGCGCTCGGGCGCTGGCGACGACGACGCGTGCCCGAATCCGTCCTCAGAGGAAGTAGCAGCTGCGTTTACGAAGGCTTCGCCCCCCCCGGCACGACCCTCCAAGCGCGCCGTGCGCCTCAGATGTTTCCCCCGCCTTTTCGGCAGATGTCGCCAGGCAAGAACTGGGGTCTCCGGCGACGCGCGCGCCCGGGCGTCAGGCTGCGCGCGTCGCCCAACTCGCGGGCGCCAGGGCGCGCGTCGAGTCGCCTCGTGGCGCTGCAGCCGCGGCTCAAGAGTTCGCTGAGATGACGGGGCATCCTGCTTGGGCGCCGCCCGGCGAGCTCGAATTATACCCAGATTCGGCCCGCGTCGCGAAAGGCAGGCTCCTCATCTCAAAGAAGCACTTCGAGCTCCCAGCGGACCTCCGCGAGCGCAAGGCCCGATTCGTCGCTATGGGGAACGTGCTCTCCGACAGGCACACCTGGGTCGCGCGTTCCCCCCGTGATCGCGCGGCCGCATCCAGGTCAGTCGAGTGCGCATTTGTGCAATCTTCCCGGAAGATTAGCAAATGATCCTACCAGCAACGGCCATATAGATACTCTCCTCAAAGATGCCCGTCGCCCTTGTTCCGCCCCTTTAAATGCAAATTTGTAAACTGAAGCGCGCTTTGTGCGGCCCCCAACGATTCGGGTTCGACTTCACCGCTGCATTTACGCGATGACCAGCACGGAATGGATGAACACCCGCGGAAGAAGAGCCTGCAGTTTCATATCTCTGGCAGGTGGCAACGACAACGACTCCCTCAAGCGAACCTTGAAAAGCAAACCTTGGGTCGGTGCTGAACTCCAAGCGGGTCGGAACCCGTTCTCTGTGTCAACGACCGCGGCGAAACGTCATCCCGGCGCGAAGCGTTCCAGCAAACGGCTGCCCCGCAACATCGGCAAAACCGCAATTCGAAACGTTGCTCCAATATGGCTACATACGTCGACGTTGCGAACTGGACGCGCGGAAACTTCAACGTGAGAACATATGAGCCATTATCCGCGCGATATTTGCTTGAAAGACGCCTGAGACTGTTGTCCGCCTGCTGTTGGTGTGCAAATGTCGCCCTCCACGCATTATGATACAGATTTTGATGTCGGGCACCGTGTGTACCATCTCTCAGGGATACTCGTAATTGTGGACGCATCGTCCGCGACTGGGAGACAGTCGCATGACAAACAATACGGGCAACGATAACTCCCGTTTAGCAGACGGAACCTACACGTCCAAAACACATCCCACCGTCGGAGGGTGGCACTGGCAGGAGCAAGATAATTGATGAGAGTTCTTACGCTGCTCGGTGCTCGCGCCCAAACATATCTTTCGGTGCAGGCCATGGACACGACTTGGTGTTACTTAGCGCATGTGACAACTGAAACGAAATATCTGTACATGCGTAGTCTGATGCAGATGTGAATGCCCCGGAAAACACCGCGGGTTTCTACCTCGAGGAAGCTGGGCCGAGAAGTTCGCAGCACCCCCTCTCGCGGGGAGCTGCGCCTCAGGGTATCACCACAATGAGCACTGGCGAAAGCGAGAGCTTCGCAGGGGCCACAACGGCCAATAACGCCATTCGTCTCGCAACCATTGTACTCCGATAGAGATTGTTGGTCGTCTTGACAATCAGGCCGTGGAGGTGTCGTTGCTCTTCCTGCACGAAAACAGGAATCGCCCCAAACCGTACGCCTGAAATCTATAACATAGCCGATGCATTCAAAAAAACATTTGCCATAATAAATTTATGTACCTTATCGGGCGATTGCTCGGCATCCGAGTTGGTCAATTCAGTAACGGATCCGTCCGCGCACGCATGGTTTAAATCCCATCGGAATCATCAACATGCTCATCTTCATAGTCTGGACAGAGCCCGATGCCGCCAGGCCAGCGCATGGTGGAGCTTATTTGTCGGGCAGCGATGTTGGACAACGTCGAGGGCATCGCTAAGAGCGCTGCCCTCCCCGACCCGAGTCGCCCGCTGCAGGCGGCGCGTCTGAGCGCGCTGACCGACCTTCACAAGCAAGTCCATGACATAGCATCCGCTCTGAAGGCGCACATGCAGCCGGGCAATGACACTGGTGGCGAGGAACCTCTCCCGGCTGGATCTAACCGCCTGCAGGCCGACATATTCCGTGGCCGAATTTGAATATGCGTGGCTCGATTGGGGGACCCGAAGCGATTCAGAACTCGCGCTGATGAACGCCCAAAACTTCCTCAGGCCCTTTGTGCCCCAACTTGCGGTTTCGAGCGCCGAGTGAAAGTGTCTGTGATTGCGAACGATACATCGGACGACGAGGTATTTTAAGGTTACGTGTGCCAGGCCCCTCGAAAGTAATTCGTTTATCATCGAACGCGACAGGTCGACCGTTACGGCGTCCTGGAGTCCCTCATTTCCCGCAGGCTGGGGACGGAAAAGTTCTCAGTAGTCAACGGGCAGAACCTTACTCTGACAAGTCTTGGCGATGATTTCCTCACCAAGGGCATCCAAGATTTGACGTCCAACGCTCTTGGGCAAGCTCCTGGCGAACCAGTTGAGCTCCACGCCCGTCCTGCACGCGTCGTAACATGGAAGCCGCCAAATAGCAATCAACGTTCCAGAAAGAAAACGCCAAGAGGACGTTGAACAAGAAGATCGAGAAGACCGGTACGAGTACGAACCCACCTCCGACCCTTCGGGCCGCCCCCAAGAGGAGCATTGGAGCTACGTCCAAGGCTGCGGGCACCCACCCGGCCGCCATTGGCAGCAGGCTTCGTGCGACGCCGTGGCACTGAATTACATGACCACATAAACGTGAGTGATGCGACAGTGACTGTAATTAGGCCCCTCAGCGACCAAAACATTACTTTGAAAATCGATGTCGTGATTCATGCGTTGCCGGATTTCGTGATGTTTGGTAGGACACGTGTTCTGGACCTCCTTCTACCTCCTTTCCCTTTTCTCGGGTCCAAGGCATCCGTGTAGTCAAATTCGCGTTGACCTTCGGACTTTCCTTTGTGCAGCCTCGCCTGCGCAGCAAGGCCGGCGCAGGGCGACTGAGCGGCGTGAGGGGACAGGCCCCATGCTGCCGTTGCACTTCGGCCTGGCTCAAGTAAAAGGCCGCGCCAAGGGGACCTCCGCCAACCTCAATCAACCCCAACATGGCGCCGAGAGGCCACAAGACGGCTCCAAGTTCTCTCGGAGACCCCAAGGGAAACTACCAAGAGGCCAAAGTCGCACCAAAACCAAAGCACAGTCAACGAGTTGCGCCTTCTCGCGCGTTCGCATAATGTGGGCCTCTCAGGCCTCAAGGTGGACCAAGCATGGCTCCAGAAAGCCCAGAGAGGAGCCCAAGGAGGCCCCAAGACGGCTCAAGATGCCCTGGCCACAAGATCCTCAAGAGCCTCCGAACTAGGGGGATCTAATCCAGTGCTCCCCCCGTGTTTGAGCCATGGGGCCCCCGATCGCCCCAAGAAGTCGCCAATACCCTACCAAAGAACCGCACCCAAATGGCTCCAAGAGGGGCGCCGAGATAGCCCAAAGAGTTCCCCAAGATAGGGTCACAAGAAGCATGAACGAATGCATCCTCCGTGTGTTCCTTCTAAAACCCCCTTCCTTCTCCTCCTCCTCCTCGCCCGTCACCTCCCCCTCTGCACCATCCGTCTCGTCCTACTCCTCCATCCTCCTCCTCGTCCTTTTCCTCCTCCTCCTCCATTTTCCTCTTCCTCCTCCTCTTCAACCTCCTCCTCCCTTTCTTCAACCTCCTCACACAAACAACTCTCATGGGCATCGTTTCTGGATGGGCTGGTGGATATTTTTTGTTGGTACGCGGGCTCGTGAAGCAGGTCGAAGGCCGGGCAAAGCTAGGGCGGGGCGCGCCGAAGAAACATCGAAAAACAGAACACACAGGCTCAGCGTCCAACAGGACGTAAGCGATACGCGAAGCGTCAAGGACTGTGTCTCCCTTCCAGACTCCATCCTCGCATCCCTGGACAACACAACTCCCTGGCCGCCCCTCGGTAGCCTGCATGTCCACGGGTATCTCAGAGAGCTTCTCCCGGTTAGCAATCGAGGTCGCCTCCAAGAACTGCTGCGCGAACTCAGCCTGGCATTGGTATCCAGCTGGAGGCCGGCCCCTCTCACTGACACCACAAGCCACCCCGAGACAGTATTGTCACACATCGTTTGTGCTGGCGTAGTTGGTAATATGATATGTCGTGTTGATCGTTCGCTGGGAGCTAAAAAAAGATCTCATGTTGGGAGGGTAATGTGCCAATGGGCATCGGGCGCGTTGGGGGGTATGAGAATTACCTGTTCGCTGTGTGGCATGGTTCAGTAAATCTAAACCTCTATAGGCGATTTCTCCACCCGATTGCGATCCCAAGAGAACCCACTACGTGTAGCCTCCCAGCATGCGTCATGCCCCCAAGGCGGCTGCAATCAGACCCAAGACAGTCAAGACCAACGACCGCCTGGAGGCCCCACTGTACACCCAGAGGGACCCTACGAGGCCGGCGCCCACGATACTTCCAGGAGCAAACTATATTGGCAAACGCACGAAAGCAAGTGTATATCAATGTGTTACTGCCGGTTCCTTCCTCGCCCTTATGAGTAAAGACATCGCGCCGAGAAAAGACCTCTAATGCTCTGGGGGCACTGCTGGGACTCTGTCTAGAAATTATTGAGCTAGACAAGGGAGCATGGTAGAACCACAGTAGAACCTTGATGGAGCCATGGGAGTACCATGGCGGCACCTGGATAGAACGATCCTGAAGCTGCTTCCACGCAGCGCCACCACGGTGACTGGGTTTGCCGCAAGCAGCAGGATTGCCGCAAGCAGCAGGATAATTCCTCAATCCTTTCGCCATAAGTGGTGTGCCGTGCCAGCTGTTCCAAAACAACGCCTTATCCCTCCGCGGGAGGGGTCCACACCTCCCTCTGCCCTCTCCCCAGAGGTCTGGACGAGGGGGTGGAGTTCGGAGACGGTTCGAGCTTCGCAGATAGCTTACTAGCTTGCGCCGCGCCTGGATTGTCCGAGGATGTACCGGATTGCATTCAAGACGGCGCAGATTGTCAACACTGCCTCCAGCATGCCTCCACGAGGCCCCAGGAAGGCCCAAAAAAGACTCGGAGACGCCACCCCCCGAGACGCTCACGGATGCCCCAGAGGCCAAAGCAATCGTAGGATACATATTGTTTCAGCTCGGTGCACCGTCTCGCCTGTTCGGTTTCCATTGGCTTCTGGGCCTTAAGATGGCGATGAGATGGCCCAAAGGCCCTGTGGAGAGCACAGAAGGGCCCCACGAGGGCTCAAACGGCCTCCATGAGGGACCTGAGAGAGCCCCAAGAGGTCTTAAAGAGGCAACTTCAGGACTTCAATGGTGGGGCGGCCCAAGAAAGAGATAGAGAGAGACCCAAGGGTATGTCGAAGGGCCCCAAGAGAGCCCCACAGCGTTCCTAAGGGCTGCAAGAGAGCTCCAAGATGGCTCCATGGTGCCTCCAAGAGGCTCTGAGATGTCCCCAAGTTGCAAATCTGGGAGACTTCTCGGGCTGATCGCCCTTTGATCTGACACGTGTCCTCTCGAATTTCTTCACTGATGCTTCTCCACTTCCGCTCTCACGACAACTCGCCTCGAAGCCCTACCAGCTCTTTAGAGCGTGAGTGGTTGTGAGAACTTCCTTTTTCCTACCCCCCTCCATCCCCTTCGGAGGCGGCTTTGCCCCTCTCCCCTCCCCCTGGACCTGGCCCAGATGGCCTCGACGAGAGGGCCAAACTCATCGATCTTAGTCATAAGTTGACCACATTGTGGCCTCATGGGGGGGACCCTGACTAAGGAGCTCCCCTTCTCTGATCGAATTTCTCCAAGATGGCCCTAAGATGGCCCCAAACGCTCCCTAGAGTGACCCAAGAGGGCCCCAACGGGCGCCCAGGAGGCTCTCAAAACGCCCCCAGAAGCCCCAAAGAGACCGCCAAGAGGCCCCAGATGCTCACACGAGGAACCCGAGACGCACCAAGATGCCCCTGTGGCCGCCAAGCGCCACCCAAAACGACCCAAGAGGAGCCCAAGGAGCTCTCGAAAAAAACGAAGAGACTCCGAGAGGCATCGAAGTGGCCTGTGGCCTTTCTGCTCGCCCTTCTCCTCCTTCTCCTCCTACTCCTTCTCCCTTCTCCCCCTCCCCCTCTTCCTCCTCCGCCTCCTCCTCCTGATCCTCCTCGGATTCCTCCTCCATCCTCCCCTCTTGGGGTCTGACGTCTTAACCGAGTCCCTTATTCCGCTGCATGCTCATCAAATTCCCTCATCAAGGCAACTCGTTCGGACATCGTCTGGATGGGTTTGAGGGGATTGCGCGAAGCGTCTAGAATAATTTCTCAATCGGCAAGTGGCGATACGCGAGGCATCAAAAACGTAAGACGTAGGCTGACACCGGCACAGATCAGTCACACCTGTGGGCGACCCGTCGAAGGGAGCCATGTCAACAACATTGACCTCGGCATGTCAGACCTGCTCTAACTGTAGGCACTCCCGCACAGGCACAAGATAACAAGGCAGAGAGGGCACAGTGCTGACAGTCACTCAGGCAAGCTAGGACAACTACACCCTGCGAAATGCTTTAGAAATCATGGCTTAAGAAATTCATAGTCTAGGAACTTGAATAAAAACCCAGAATGTCGATTCAAATCTTAGGATTTGCATTGAAACATTAAGAAAAATCGAGGCTCTGGCCGAAAACTTGGGTTTTCTTAAGCATCGCCTAGAGTGTACAACAACTTCACGCGGGCACTTCTTGCCCAGAGCGGATCATTCAAGCACTACCTGTTTACACGCGCCCGAACGCACGAGAGGTGTGTTTCCGACATGCCTCCACATCATGTGCGAGGTGTGTATGCGTATGTTCGGACATACCTCAACATCATCAACGACATACAACACCGTCACAAGCCATACGATAGACACGGCCAATCACTTCAACGCCACGGGAACCGGACACCAAACATGCAACATGCTGTGTGTAAGATAAAGCGGCCATTGTGAGAGACGAGTCCGGGCGAGGGCTGCTAATTGCACTTCCGAGCAAACGTTTGCAACATGCATGGGAATGCCACCATTGACAATCGAGCGGCACCGAAACCGGAGCAAATGCGGCACTGAACATTTCAAACTTCGCCCATCGACCACACCCATGCGCACACGCAACGGCCTTCCTGGCCCAGAGTACCCCGCCCCCACAATGCCTGGATATACACGCCGTTGTTGGAACGCTTGATCTCCGCGATCTCCCGGGAATACCGGGCGGGGGTGGGCTCCAGGACGACAAGCCAGCCGTTCCTGCGCGCCCACATCACGAGCAAATTCAAGACCTGGGCTCGTGGGCTGGGTATGGATGGTTGCATCCGTGCACGTGGCCCGAATGCATCGACTGCCATGGTACACGCGGGCACCTCAAGATTGAACATACTTAAACAATACCTGCGGTGGCGCTTCCCTGCTGGATCCGCATCCGCACCATCTGAACGCTTGAATCAACTCCGTCTCGCAAATACTATGATTCTGATGTTGTGTGCGAAAGCAGGGGGGGGGCTCCCGATCAGCCATCCTCGGCACACGCACAAACCAGAGAGAGAGAGAGAGAGAGAGAGACAGAGACAGAGAGAGAGCGAGAGAAGTCGCAAGTTCCGCTGAAATGTTGATTATCACAACCTCTCTCTGCGGCTGATCTGACAGCTAGCGAGGCAGCATGCACGTCACGTCAACCACTACTCGTACTTATCCTGCGTCTTCCTGCTGCACCCGTTGATGTGCTGCCGCCCTGACCTCCTGATCCTGATCCTCCTGATATGTCTTCTCCTCCTGCTCCCCTACCTCCTCCTCCTGCTCCTCCTCCTGCTGATTCTCCCCCTGATCCTGACTGAATCGGTGCCCTCCTCCTGACCCTCCACCTCCTTTTTCTGCTCCTGCTCCTATGCGCCACTTCCTCCTTAGCCTCCTCCTCCTCCTCGTCCACCCCCCCCCCTTCACGCCCTGCCCCCCCCCCTGGAAAAATAACAACTCGCCCCCCCCCCATCCCCCCCTCCTGGCCAACGTCCATTACCAGTCGGGAGACAATCGCAGGGCAGGCCTGGCTCTTCCCAGTGCCCCTGCGGCCGTCGATCAAGAACCCAGCCTGGGAAAGGAACGCTGGGAGGTCACAAGAACTAGGGCATCGATGTTCGCAACAGCAGCGCGCGAATAACGAAACGTGCGGATCTTCGCGCTCTCGCGCGGCCACGCAGAAGAACGACCGTCCCAGAACGCGAAGCGCAGCGACGACCTCGCCCCGAGAACGGTGCTGGCCCTTCCGGTATTGCGCGCGAATCTCTCCCGGGGTGATTATGCTGAGAGTCGGGTGCGCCGAACAGGGGGACCAGGAAGAAGGACAGACAGACAGACAGACTGACTGACAGAATGACAACAGACAGACAGACAGACAGACAGACAGACAGACAGACAGACAGACAGACAGACCAGCGCTGCGGACGGATGTCCGGGCCTACCTCAGGCCAGGAAGATGAGACCGTGGCCTCAAGCACTGGGTAAAAAAATGAGAGACACCGACCTTTCAGGGCAAGTCAGCTCTCCCTTGTAGGAGGAAAAAGGAGGAGCGGGGTCGGGAGCGGTGAGTGGGTGGGTGCGCAGCTTGGCCCGAGGCATGTGCGCGGAAGAAGGGGGTGCCAGACGGACGCCTCGAAAGACCGAGCCCTCCGTTGGGGACACCGAGGGGGGGAACGAGATTTACGTGGTGCTGAACACGCTGGGGAGCTTTGTTTTCCGTTCTGAAGATCGACGCTTTCATACATTTGGGTACTGGCTCTTTGGTTTCCCCCATTTGGGGGTTCTCGTTTGCGCCGTGTTTGGACGTTGTTTCTCTGTCTTGGGCTGCAATTTTGGCCCCCGTTCTGTCTTGCTGGGAACCGAAAAAATGAAAACATAGGAGAAAGTATCCTGTCAATGTGCCCAACCCTTGCGCCACGTGTGGCTTGAAGAGCTGGGAAGAGTTTACAGGGGCTGCTAACGTGGCAAAGATCTACGACGATTTGTTGCGAACGCTGCTCGGGAATCTCGCCGAGCTGCTTGACTCGCAGGGCTCCGATCCATGGACAAGGGCCGAATGAAGGTGATTAGATATTTCCCCGACTCGAAAGGAAAGAGAACTGCCCCGCCCAAAGCAACCCTCGAAAGTGGCAGTACTTTCCCAGAACGCACCCCCCAAAGGGAACGGCGAGGTCAAATCTAAGTCCGGGGCAGGTACCCACTATGCTGCCCCCCCCCCCACAGCCCTCGATCGGGCCCCCACTATGCTGCCCCCCCCCAAGCAAGCCCGCGAAAGTGGCAGCAGTTTCGCAGATCGCAGCCCCCGCAGGGATGGCGAGGTCTAGTCTGAATCTGGGTAAGGCCCCCACTATGCTGGGCCCCCAAGCAGCTTCCGAAACTGGCGACAATATCGCAAATCGCAAGCCCCCAAGGATAGCGAGGTCCCACCTGAATCCGCGTATGGCGTCACTGTGCTGGCCACCCCCAGCAGCTCGAAACTGGCGACAGCTTAGCAGATCGTAGCCCCCCCAGGGATGGCGAGGTCTCATCTGAGCCTCGCATATGGCGTCTCTGTGCTGCCCCCCCAGCAACCCTCGAAAGTGGCAGAAGTTTCGCAGATTGCAGCCCACCCAAGGATGGCGAGGTCTTATCTGAATCCGCGTATGGCGTCACTGTGCTGCCCCCACAGCAGCCCTGGAAAGTGGCGACAGTTTCGCAGATCGCAGCCCCTCCAGGGACGGCGAGGTCTAATCTGAGTCTCGCATATGGCGTCCCAGCCCTCGAAAGTGACGATAATTTCGCAGACCGCAGCCCCCCGAGGGAAAGCGAGGTCTCATCTGAATCCGCGTATGGCGTCACTGTGCTCCCCACACAACAGCCCTCGAAAATGACGAGAATTTCGCAGATCGCAGACCCCCAGGGACGGCGACGGCGAGGGCTAATATGAGTCGTCGTAAAGCGTCACTGTGCTGGCCCTCCCCAGCAGCCCTCGAAAGTGGCGACGGTTTCGCAGATCACAGCCCCCCGAGGGAAGGCGAGGTCTAAACTGAATCCGCGAATTGCGTCAGTGCGCTGGCCCCCACCCACGCATCCCTCGAAAGTTGCGGCATGCTCGCAGATCGCAGCCCCCCCCCACCCCTCCAGGGAGGGCGAGGTCTAACCTGAATCCCTGTATGGCGTGAGAGTGCTGGCCCCCCAGCAGCCCTGGAAAGTAGCGCCCCCCCCAGGGAGGGCGAGGTCTAACCTGAACCACTGTATGGCGTGAGAGTTCTGCCCCCCCCCAGCAGCCCACGAAAGTGGCGACATGTTTGCAGACCGCAGCACCCCCCAGGGATGGCGAGGCCCAATTTGAGTCCGCGAATGGCGTCACTATGCTTACTCAGCAGCCCTCGAATGTGGCGACGGTGTCGCAGATCGCAGCCCCCACAGGGATGGAGAGAAAAAGAGAGAGAGAGAGAGAGACACAAAAAGAGAGAAAGAGAGAGAGAGAGAGACAGGAAGAAGGCGAAAAAGGGGGGCGCCCGCAATGCTCTATTCAAAACGGGAACCCAACAACGGAGGGTTGGGAAAAACAGCGAGAATCCGACAGCTGAGAGGCGTGCCCTCCCGAGACGCTGGGTTCATGATCCGTCGACCCGCCGAGGTCGCCGCCCAGACCGCTCTCGGGCGCGCGAGGGGCTGCGCAGGGGAGCGCCCCCGGCGCAAGGGAGCGGCCCGGAGCGTTGCCCGCCCACCTCCTCTCGCGCCTCTCTCCCCATCTCTCTGTGGAGGCCTCCAGAATTGAGGCTCAACGATGGAGACTGGCACAGGGGGGGACACAACGACCTGGAAGCGGCGATACATCGACGATAGATCGGCGGTGGGCCCCCGATCGTGAATCCGCGCGTTTCTGGGCAGGTTGGGTCTATCGGGCACCTTTCGGCGATCAATGGGCGATTAGGGGTCGACGTATCCCTCCCTTATGCCTATACCCCCATTGTTGACCCTGAGCTGGAGCACATGGGGTCGGAGGATCGGGCCGCATCGCCGCTGGATTGGCGATGCATGTCGGGATGGAATACACTGTGCTGCAGATCGCGCCGCATCGACAATGCGTCGGCGGCGAGGAGAGGTTCTCCGATCCCATCTGCTCAAGCCCCCCCGGGAACGGCCTAGGCACCCGGCGGTCTCGTCTTACACCTCATGGCACCCGATACCAGCTTTGGCCACTGCATGGGTGCACGAAGACAATGCTAAAAGGTGTAACGCAACCGGGAGGGTGACCTTCTCCATCCCTCAACTTCACCATCGTCCCCTCTGACGCAATTCAAAGAAACTGCCCCGCTCGTACGCTTCCCTGTCAAGCCCCTCCACCACGACCTCTCGCGTCTGGAAAAGACACCAGCAGACATGCCGACCGGCGGCTGGCTTTCCCTCCGCCATCTGTTCAGGCACCTCTATCACGCGAAGCCCTGCGATGGTGCCTCATTGATGGCACACCATCGGGCATGCCAAAGAGACATCCATACTGTGAACCCTCTCTTTCAAATCGCGCGTGCGCGAGCCCCACTTGCACTACACCCTTCCTGAACCACTTTCCTCCCGCGGTTCCTTGCGGATGCACGGCTCCCCGCGCACGTCCGTGGCGTCCTGCAGGGCGGACAGCTGAGTGATGAGCTCCACGGTTAGCTTCCGAACCATCAGGCCCACCTGTCGCGTGCGGGAGGGAATCAGCGTGATATCCTTGGCGAGCTCGCCGCAGGCGCCTTCGGGCAAGAGCTCGATCAGCTCATCCCGAGCTATCTTGACAAACCGTCCCACATCAGCGGGGCCGACGTAGCTCTGGTCACCGTCGCCAAGCCACAGATGCGGACGCTTCACCGGGGCCGCCTTCGGGCCAAGGTCCAACAGGGCGGTCGGCGGCCACACCGCGTTCACGTCCTCTGGCTTGATCATGTCGATGCGTATTGTGCGCTTCGGCGCGTCGTCGGCCAATGACGGGTCCTCGGCCAGCTGGTACTTGGGTGCGGCCTCGTCCTGCTCCCTCGGCAGGTCGAAACGAGAGCGCGGCTGCACCCGCCGCGGAACCGACGTGGCCTGCTGGGGGTCCAACGAAAAGATACCAACAGGAACCCATTTTTTATTATTCGAGGTCACGCCCGTGACCAGCCCCGCACTTCTCCCAACCTCTCTGGTCACGCCACGATTCGCGCCAGCGCAATCTGAGAATGAGCCATTCCTGAACATTCTCAGACGGCGCCAGCGCGAGTCGCGGCGTGACCGGCCCGCCCGCCCACTCCCCCCCACGCGGGTCACGCCCGTTATCATATCGATAAGGGATTCAAGCAAAAATCTCGCGGGGCGGGAGTCGAGGAAGAACAAACTGCGTAGACCTGCAGGGGAAAGGAAGAGCCAGCGCAGAAGCCAGACGGACGCTGGCGCAGGAGCCACACGCACGCACCCTCGTTGGGGGGCTCTGGTGGCTGCCTGTGGGTCCCTGCTGGTGCTCCGACCAGCAGCTCAGGGCCCTCGGCCGCGAGCTCCCTGGCGATGTCACACATTCGACAGCAAGATATGCCACGAGGTTGGCTTGCGAGCTTCCACCTGGCTTCTGCCGGCGGACCCGCCGCCGCTCCACCTGCCGAAACCATACATGCCGCCACGCTGGTACCGGGCGGGCTGTGCTGTCTGGCGGGAGGTGACGAGGAGGGGAGAAGCAGGCAGACGACGACGACGAACGCCCAGGCGGGATGCTAGGGCCGGCGGGGCGGGCGGAGAAACGGGGCCAGGCGGAGACAGCAGACAGGGAGCAGGAGAAAAGGAAAGGGAGGGAAGCAACGAGCAGAGGGGGAGGGAGGGGGAGGACAAGGAGGAGGGGAGGGGAAGCAACCGCAAGCAGACAGGCTGGGCCAGGGGCTGGGGAAGAAGAGCGACCCGCGACGAGGCCACGTACCCTACGGCGGCGACCTGGGCGGGGTGGCCGACCAAGCCCAGCACGTAGCAGCAAACATCTCGACCGATACCCGATACCGTTGTTCCCTGGACCTCTCCAGGGATGCGTTCTGATGCAAACTTTCGGGGCGAGTCCAACCGTGGCGACGACGAACGAGCAGCGGCATCGGTACCTTTCCTCCTCTGGAGGAAGAAAAAAAGCAGCAGCAGCAGCAGCAGCAGCAGCAGCAGCAGCAGCAGCAGGAGGAAGATACACTTTCGGCGTTCCCTGCAAACTTCTTGGATCTGCGCTGTACCCCCTCCCTGGCACGCGGATCGCGCCAGGGGAGGCGCCAAGGGCACGCGGGGCGTCGAACGGCTATCAGGATGAAAGTGATGTCATCATGAACAGCCACTCGGCTCAGGATGCGTTCCACGACTTCCACAGTGTCTAACGGCCCTCCTTTCTGGAGCCCGTGGAAGCGGTGGAAAAACTGCAACCTCCCGGAACTCTTGCAGTGCATCATCATCGCTACCTCTCGCTCCTCCGATCTTCTGCTCCTGCCGTCGCTTCTCCCCTTCGATCCCCCCCGGCCTGGGCCCCCGGCACCGCGGCCGCGGCCGTGGCGAGGCTGCGCGGCACCAGCGGCAGCGCGCCCGTGCGGGCGGCCCGCCCGGCGGCCTCGCGCCACGAGGCCAAGGCGGGCGGCGTGGCCACCCGGCGCGGCGGAGCGGCGGCTGCCAGCACGGACCGCGCGGCGGGCAGCCGCCGCGGGCCGCGTCGCAGCGCTGCGGAGGGCATCGCTGCTGCCCGCGGCAGGGCACGGGACCCGGACACCCGGCGCCTCGAACAAAATCGAGACCGTGATGGTTCACCGTTGTCGGCCTCACCGAGCCTGGGGACCGTCCAAAAACGACCCGGGCTGAAAAACCGGGCCCGTGGAGGTGGTCGAGAGGTCGGGAACCCGTGACTCGAACGGGTCGAGACGCCAGATGTCTGAGGCAGGGCTGGGGGGAAGGGGGGGTGGGAGGGGCAGCAGACGGGCAAGAAGGCTGAACAGGGACAGGCGGCAGCAGTGTGGCAGCACCGGTGCTGGACGGGCCCCTGGAGAGCCCAGGAGCACGCCAAGCCCTGGCCTCAAAAGGACGTAGGCAATACGTGCTCGTAACTACTGGCAAACTCTGAACTACCGGGTGACCCCCGCAATCCACATGTCAGGCCGTCCGCTCTGATCTCCCAACGGGAAGGCTCGAAGGGAGAGACGGACTAGTCATCGAGCAATCCTGTGTCTTCTCATCGTTAGGCATGATGTGATGCGGCATTGCCGCAGATTGCAGGGGCGGAGCCCAGCGGGACTGCATTGCCACACACGGGGTTACCCCCTGCGAACAGTGGCCACTGGAGACGTCCTCATCATATCCTGGATCTCAAAACTCCTCGACTAATCGTTAGCCCCGCTTGTTGCCCGTCTGATGAACTGAAAGGAGGGGGCGGGATGAATCACCGCATCCCAGACGGTGAGTAGCCCGCGCCCCGCGCAAGCTGAGCCAAACGGCGAACTGGCGGCGTCGCCCCGCCTCACCAAAAGACTGCCCTGACAAGCATCGGTAAGCAGTGAGGACTCTTCTGCCAAAATAGATTGGACTGCTCGCAACAAAGGAGGAGGGAAGAGCACAGAAACCAATATACGCACGCAACTGTTTGGCCAAATGTTCATCCCTTGCCGCTCGGCGTGGCTATCCATCTCTCTCTGACTCTCTCTCTCTCTCTCTCTTTCTGCTATAAATGTACCTTGCGTGTGTCGTCTTATGACTTGCCCGGGGAGAGAGAACAGAAGGCATGGTACAACATAACGACTACAACTCTGTCTTGTAACGGATCGCGACGCACATGCTGGCGCCAATCAACGCCGTGCTGGTTGTTGCTGTGATAATGTGCTGATGGAGGAGGTGGATGTGGTGCCTGAAACCACCAAGCTGATCTAGCAATGGTCGAGGGCGGGGCCGTGCAAATTTCTTTTGTGGTGAGGCTACTTGCTGAACTGACAACGGTTGACGACACTATCGTGCAAATCGCCGGCCCAACGGTACAATGTTTACACTATTTCTTCTTTTGCGCGGGGCGGCCCTTGGGGGTCCCCCTACGAACAGTACCCCGCGCAGACCCCGCCATGGAAGCGGTCGTTCGGCCGTTAAAATCGCCGCAAATGCCCCTGATGGAGTTCGAACAGGGTCCAAGATCCGAGAGGAGTGGGCAAGAAACCCCAATATGGCCGGAAGTTCAATCCCCAGAAGGCCTCGAGATAACCCAAAAATGGTCCCAGGCAGCCCCAAGAGAGCCCCACGTTGTTACGTGCTTTGACATAGGTTGTGTAAGGAGTACGACGTCACCACCTTTCCGAGTGCCGCAGACGGCCCAAGAGGCCCCAAGATCGGCCCAAGATAACCCAAGAGGCTCCAAGGATGGCCCAGAAGGCCCCAAGACGGGAAGCCTACCAAGAGGGCCCCAGAGGCTCCCGAGAGACCCAAAGAGGAGGAATCCGAACTCACCAGTTGCCTCCATAGGCCCCCGAAACACTCCCCGAAGAAAACCCAGAAGGCTCAGGGCCTCCGAGATGCTCCACGAGGTTTCGCAAATGCCCCCGCAAGCACGCGGGCTATTGCCAACGATGCTACAACATGGACCATCGGAATGAGGTAAGCGATCCGCCGCCCGACTGGGTACTGCGTGTGAGACCCCGCATCGGTCTGCAAGGACCGTTGTTGCCATCCTCTGATACCCTAGACTCTTTTCTCATAAACCAGAAGCTCCTACGGTGGTCCCTCCCGCAAATTGCTCCCCCTGCCGACCCGAGGGGGCCCTGGCTGCAGACTGGGCGTCCGCTGCCCGCCACTTTGCCTCCAAATCAAACATCTTCGCACTCGAGACTTGCGGGTACCTCGAGACTCTGCCGGGGGCCTCTCTGGAAGCCCTTTGAGTTGCCGGGCGCTTTCTGAGGCCATGTTGGGTTAATACCACCAGCCCTCTGGGCGACAGCTGTCTCTTTCTCTTCCACAACCCCTGTTCCCTTCGGGCAAGGGAACCCTCCCCTCCCCTCCCTGAGGTTTTTTGTTTGAGGTTTCGCGAAGTGTCGGGGACTCCTTTTTCGGCCAGGGGGACCAACTCTTGACACCCCTCACGAGGATCGTGCCCCCCGACCCGGGTGGGGGGGGGGGGGGGCAGACATCGAGGACCCCCCTCTATTTTTGACCGACCGCCTCTAAGAGGGGAATCGTTTCTGGATGGGCTGGTGGGGACTTTCACGTCGCGGCCACAAGCGAAGGCGCCAGCAGCAGAAGCAGCGCTGGCCCAAAAATTGGTGGGGATACTTATTGTTCGCGAGCGCAAACAGAGGAGCCGCGCGCCGTCAATGAGATCCAGCGAAGACCAAAAAAAACAGCGGCCGAAACTGGTGGGGATACTTTTTGGCCAACAGGCTCGCGAGGCGGGTCGGAAGCCGTCCGAACACTAGTCGGGCCGCGACTAGGCAACGGGAAAAGAAAGGCAAGCGAAGCGAGCGAGCGGGCAGCCACCCAGAAAGAAAGCCAGAACAGATATTCCCAACCCGGTGGCGTGGAAACCCCATTGGCGACCAGCAAGTAAAGCGCAACCAAAATGGCGCGGCGGCGCGACCATGAACACGAAGATGTCGATCGCTCCGTGTGAGTCAGACAGACAGCACCGTCAAAGACGAACTAGACCGACGGGTACACCCGGACGACATCCGTGCCGTGGGCGACACCAATCGTGTCGGAGCAAGAATGAAGAGGGGCAACCTCATCACCGACAAGACTGCAAACGGGTGCAGAACCAATAACACTCGTCGAAACCGAAGTCCGTGCAGGAGAACGTCGGCCAACAAGCGTACAGAGCCACACTTGCCGAACCCGAGGTCCAGGCTGGTGGGGATAGTTTTTTTTTGGTCGCGGCCGCGAGCGAAGAGGCAGGCGGCGAGCAGGGTGCCCGGGCCAACGGGCAAGCCTAA